TATTCATTAATTTATTAATTTATAGGAAAAGTGGAGATCTAGGACGAGATATTATTGTGGAAATTTTTGGGATGAAGATTGTTGTTTAGTGCAAAGCGTGGCATTCAAAAGATATAGGTATATTAATTACTAATCATAAAAACAACAATTATCAATATAACAATTAACAAATAATTTGTTTATAGGTCGTGATAAAGTTGATGAGTTTAGAACGGTAGTGAGAGATGGGAAGTACACATTCGGGGCTCTTGTAGGGGCTTTAGAAGAAAATTTTGCTATAGGAGCACATAAATCGGCTAAAAAGTCAGAAGGTGGTGACGAAGTTATTATTACGGTGTATAATAGAATGTGTCAAGATATAAAGTGGTTTATCGCTAGTCGATTTTACGAACAAATTCATGCATTAGAAAATAAAAATAGATTATTCAGATTAGATTATAATTTAATGTATTATTCGTTCTCTATTACTTTTGTAATTTTATATTATGTATTATTATTATTTTATAGATATTTATGACACTATCACATTCTGATCTTTCATCTGTTGTACTTAGATTTTTTACCTTTATTCTCTTTCTTTTCTGTTAATAAAGATTTTTTCGCTAATTCATGAATAAAATACTGTATTGATAAAATTGTATAAAGATATTTCCCCTTTTCGTATCGATCAAAAGAAGCTATTAATTGCTTTGCAGACCTAGATAACCAAATTTAAATACAGAAGAGCCCCCTTTTTTTCTCTTTATATTTTGGAAAAAAAGATGCATATGTTATTAGCATATACTATCTGCTTTTTTCTGGCTTCAAGCAGTTACTGCGAGAAGACGGGTAGATCATGGTTTAACATTAATAAAAATCCAAATAACTGTATAAATAGTGACCAATACTTATTTACACGATCGCGTTAAAATGGCAGGAGCACGAAACCCTCTCTTTATTTTTATAAAGATTACGACAATATACAAATAAAAAAATACATCGCTGTTACATAATGCGAATACAAGAAAAAAATATTATTCCTTTGGTTTTACGATAATATGAACTTGATTTGGATCAAAAGTTCCACTTTTGAAATAATCAAACATTTCGGCTGTCGAATTCTTAGGAATGATAACGTAGAGATCAGAATCTTGTTGATCTTGATTTTTTAACGGACCCTCAACTCCGTGTTTAAGCACTGCAACCTTATCTTCCTTGCATATCTTAATATTAATATGTTTACCATCCGGAAAAAGGCACTTAAGGCTAATAGGATTTGTGGTGGTTATTTTACGTTCCTAAATACATAAAAAAATTATAGTAAGAAAAAATTCGATTTTCTTAGTCTCTATTAAATGGTACATTACTTTTAAAAATTTGGCAAGTGAATCAAGTAAAAATAGATATGAGCAAAAAACGGTATTGCTAATTTATCTTACGGATAGAAACATGCTTATTTTTATACTCCACATTCGTTAGATCTAGAGAACTTGCCAGAAGAAAAATTACAAGCTTAGTAATTACGTTACCCTAACACAATACCATACCACACTTAACAAAGCAACTCCGCTTAGTCATAAGTTCCAAACACTGAATCTATTTGGTTATTTTTCTAGTGAAATTAATCCCCCTTGGATTCGACGATTGTTTAAAGTAGGTTTAGATCTCAAGATGGCAGAGATTCTAACTTCCTGCAACATATGAATTTTGATTAAACTAGTGATAAAGAACATTATACTCATTGCCCTTATAGCCTTTTTAAGACCCACACTGAAAAATTCGACATGTTGAATGGCAATATTCAACTGCCATTCAATATATCAATTCATATCATTCGACATGCCATTCGACATGACATTTGACATGACATTTGACATGACATTCGACATGACATTCAATATTCAATTC